TCCCAGCCCGCGATCCTGAGCTCCCATAAACTGTAAAACCACACTATATACTGACGCACACAATGTGTACATACCTATGTACACGTTCATACATGTACACATAGACATATTATATGCAAATCATGAATACGTGCATACGTATATACGTATGCACGTATTCATGATTTGCATTTAGCTACATTCGTACGTGCACATACTTACGAACACATACATATGTACACACTTTCATGTATATGTATAGTTTGCATGTTGTATACATGTATGCATGTCATACCCACACGCATGTGGACATAGAACCCTGGAAGCGCACCCGACCCGATATCTCACCACACTGCCGGAGGCGTACACCCATTATGATTCAGGGAGTTCAGGGTGTTTGGGTCGTCAAGGTTGGCACCCGAAGCGCTCGCAACCCCCCAAGATTAAGCTGAGATGCCTCAAATCTCTAAATACCTGACTTCGTTGGCTAAACCTCAACCGATGCCAAACCTTAGTGTTGCATACTTTTAAGCTTTCTTTTGTTTTTTCGCAGTCCCTAAGCCCTTAAACGGCTCAAATTCGGGCTCAACAAGCTCAAAGTTTAAGCTTGATTTTAGGTTTTTCGGGCTCAAATGCTGCACACCCAAAAAAGGTATGGCCGTGAAAGGTTTGTATGGCTTCTTGTAAATTCCTTTCATGTGCGCCAGCAGCATGGCCACCCCCAGTGTGATCAAAAGTACCCCCAGGGTGTGCATTTTTTTCACAGAGCATTCGCCGAAACCGAAGGTTTGCCCTGACGAGGACCTCAGGCGATCACAGTTCCTGTGTGGAGCTGCGGAAGGGCACGAGCTGGAATTCGAGGCCTGCCTGCATTCGCTAAGCCGCCAGCGGGAGGCTTCAGTGTGCGGGGCCAGGTCTATTCATGAGTCTAGTTCTGTGATGTCCCAATCTCCTCTAAGGCCGTCGGAGTCAAGGTAGGCGACATTCTGCGGCAGGTAGGCCGGTGTGCCCTAATCCTCATCGGAGTTTCAACAAAAGCTGGCCTCTTGACATCTGAAGACTTTCTGCGCCCAGCTTAGGAGGTCGTTGGCCTCCCTTTTCTGCGCTACAAGCGCCGCGTCGACGTTTCGCGCACAGCAAAGAAGAAATAGATGGACACATCCGCGATGGTGACCGGAAGCCTTGCCAAGCGTCAGCTCGAATGATCGGATCTGCAACCCTGAGTTTTTCTCAATAATTGAAACTGCTGACATGGTGCTATTGCCTAAATGGTCCCATGTCCCATGCATGCGTCGCTGGTGACGAGAATCGCCACCTAGCTTTCGGAAATCAGAGGCCGTGCAACGTGCCGCGTTACCCGCAAGGTATCTAATAGTCTTATAGTCGATCCGACACTGTTTTGCAGCGGCATCGTGTTGCTGCTCCTTAGCTTCTGGGTCCTGTCGTACGGCGTACAACCCTGATCACGGTCCCAGACCATGAGACCGACTCAGCGCGAAGCGCTGCTCTGCGGACCGTCCGACCCAGAGAGATGCGCGCAGTCAAAAGAGTGCTGAATGCAGGCCCGGTACGAGGCTGGCTTGAAGTATGAAGCGGCATTCCGTCCAGACAGGGTAGTGCACCGGGCACAACGACAACCCACGGTCGGTCTTCTAGCGGCCGGTCCCCGCCCGTGGTAACTGCAGTGCGATTTTTAGGTCAGAGTATAAGATATGGGCTCAGCCATCGCCTTCTGAGGGGTCGGGTCTAAGATGTGGGATCAACCGAGCCATCGCCCAATCATCTACTGAGGTCATGGCTTATGCCATCTTGTAGCCTGAAGATGGCCACGTCGGCCAGGCCACATGATGCTAAGTTGATTGTGCGTGCTGGTCCAGGCAGTGGCAGATCTAGCCGGAGAGTTGTACAGCGATCTGTACATGGCCCGTGCCGAAGAGTGATGAGTTTTGTGGTAGAGGGCAAGCTGATTTGTCTCTGATGGCGTCACTTCCTCCCAAATTTCGGGCGTTTTGGCTTTCCATCTGAGTTTGTCAGAGGTGACAGGGTCATTTGTCCCGATACTTACTTACTTCAGGTGGGCAGCTGATTGAGCATCCGAAGCGGACGTGGCAATGAAAGTGCATTCATAGTGTTTGCTGAGTCCCACCTCACGCTGGAGAAGACCACAGTCAGCATGTCTTCTTTGGCGTGACACTTAGTAAGCTGAAGCAGGCATGATTGATGCCAGCTTTGGTGCGACTGTGCAACGAGCCGGAACAACACGTCTGCTGCTTGAAGCAACATCTCCTATGGTGCATGAGGAGATGCTCGAGATGGCCAACCTGCTGTGGAGGCAAACGGGGTGGTGGAGATGTGGAGATGTCGAGATCGCATGTTTCGGAGCTAACTTTCTGGGCGGAGCTCTTTGTCCTATGTATAGTCATGATGTTGTCCTTAAGCCTTAGTAGCCTTAGTAGTCTCGGTTTTGGGCGTGCCGGGCCTAGCTTTTCAAGGTGACTTTAGAAGAACGGTTTCTTCGAGCGCCGAGTGCAAGGAAACAAAGGAAACGCTTCGCATACAGCCTTTCAGCAAATACTTCTGACTCGTGACTATCGTTTTGCCAATCGCAGACGCACCTTTCTTGTGTTGCACTACCTTGCAGCCTGTCGGGAATTCTTGACCATGCAGTCATTTGGTGACAGCAGATTCGGTTTAGGCAGCGGCAAGAGCTTATCCAGTCCGGCGACACTCAGGCCTCCGCATGGAGTTCAGTCCGAGCATTGTTTGATCGTTTGCTAGGTGTTGATGTGATCGTGAAGATTACCTGGGGAGATGCTTTAACATTGGCAGCCGGGCCGGCTAGCGACGGTTCGCAAGCCACCGTTTTCAGCAAATGGAAAGCTGCGGGAGAGGAATCCGTTAGCTTCCAGGTTTCCATCGTTTCGTTTCGCAAACATGTGGGCATTGCAGCTCGATGCAGCAAAGCTGCAGATGCGAGGTGGAAAGACTAGCCACGACACGTGACGTAACTCCTCCTGAGCTGCTGACTTATCAACGAAGGGGGATGTGTGCCGCACAACATTTGCAAGAACGGCGACTTGTGCATGCAGCGGGCACTCGATGGCTGCTCTTCTGGGAACCTTTCTTAAGCTAGATGCCCGGTATAGCAGTCTGCTCAAGTCCGTTACAAAGTCGCCGGGACCAGATGGAAATGGGCAGACCGCACTTCAAACCCTAACATATGTGCAGCTGCTTCTGGAGACATCAAGGCCGCCGTTCCGCTCGAGGGATTAACCGATGCCATCATGCCAACACTGCGGGGCCGTGTGTGGTCGGAGCGGGCGAAAATACCAGCCACAGCGCCATTAACACTTAATGTCATCGGAGGATTACATTCTGTTCGACATCGAGCCTTCGTGCACAGGTTGGAACGTGATTTCTGTGGCACACAGAAAAACACAGCCGTTGGGCACATGCTCTTTAGGCCAACATTCGTTACATTCGTTGACCTCGTGGCACGTGACGGCGTGTGTGGCCATGGGAGAAGCCTGCACGTGCCGTCTCCGCTGCTTGCCGATCCGAGCAGTCCCAGTTGTCACAGCACTGTCATCAATGAACATGCCAAACAAAGCCGTCAGACGAAATATGCTCTGTTACACGAGGTGTTTGACACAAATGTACCTGCCTGCTTCGACTGGCTTGATCAAGCTGCGAGAGAGCAAAGCTGCCCAAGTTTGCGCAGGACATATTCCGAAAAACCCTCGAAGAAGTGATGCGGAAGCGGCAGCCTGTGCCTCAGTGTTCGCGAAAGGAGGAGGAAGGCTTCCTGATGGTGTGCCCAAGTGACTTGATCTCATGCAGTTCTAGACCCTCCGTGCATGCAGGGTGGCCGCCGGAAAGAACTTCTCGCATGGGTCTACAACAGAGGCATCGAAGCAGTTTCGTTGGGTTGTGCTTCATGAAGTTGGCAGGGTCACGACTTGTGCTTTCAACAGGATAATTAGACAATGGGAAGCGAAATCATCAGAACGCTTCACTTTCAGCATTCCGTTATTGTGAGGGAGACTCAGGAATTCGGCAACCTGCCAGGAGATCCAGGAATACCATCCCGACGGTCACCTTTGGTTTGGGCCTTGGGTGAATTCGCCTTTGTCGAGACGGTGCCTCGTGCCCTGGTGTTCCTTGTGAGCCGCTACGGGCATTGAATGGGATCTCGCAAGAATTCCGCAGAGCAATCGAAACAGTTCGAGCAAGATGCACGCAGCAGAGGCCAAGTTGCGGCTCAAGCCTTGCCTGTTGCAGTGCACTACCACAAAAGCGGTATGGGCTCTGGCTTCCCCGGTTTTTGCGGAGACACTCTGGCTCCCCACCTTGTTTCCGATTTCCGAGCCCGACCAAGGCTTGCGGGCAAGCATGGAGAGTGGCACAACCTGCGGCCCAGAGCGAGGTGCCGCATCTGACACTCCAAGATGTGCAGAAAGGTTGTGGCACCGCTAAGGCTGATAGGATCAGGAGCTGATCGCATTGCGGAAGCCACCTCGTGTCAGCAGCATATCATGATATGGCAATCCTCGGCAACTCGGCTCCGCCAGGTTTCTAGAGTACATGAGAGGGCCGGGCTACGAGCCCACTTTCTGCAACGAGTCCAAGGTGACACTGGCCGGTCTTTGCCTTGCACATAGGATGTCAACTTTAGGCTTCGGGATCTTCGAAGAGAGGTGCACGAGGCATTGCCAATTTGATGAGGCATGCGTGGAGGTTGGGAATGCGCGAGGCCAATTAGGCAACTAGGCCACCCAGAACGCGGCATTTGGCTAGCAGGGCAGCGAGGTTTGAAATCCGAAGCCTTCCACCTTTGCCAGGCGCCCATGCCGCGCTGCCTCACCTCGGACCCGAATCTAAAGCAGTAAATGGTCATGAACTTTGTGGATTCTTATGGCATCTGACAGCATACCAGTCGTGCAATCATTGGTAGCGGCTTCGCAGGAAGCTCAACGAAAGCAGAAAGACTACTCCCTGATCCGATTGTTCAGCATACCTGAGGAGGACATCCGCTGCCAGGAAAGTAGTTTCGGCAGCCAGTGAAAGTTCATTGAAGGGTTCATGATGCGATCTCCAACTTCCGCTCCGCGTGCATGTAACGGCAGTATGACGGGTCCTCGCTCGCAGGAGAAAGGGCCCGTCCCTAAGTTCAGATCCCGGCCTGTGGTGGAGCGCTCGCCCAGGGGCAGATTCTAACATCGGAGTTCCGCCAGGGGGATCAGAGGCTGCATCCTGCATCCTCCTGCTCCGGATTTGATAGGCAACTCTGAGCATGCCAAGGCCGAAGTTCACGAACCAGGACGGCGAGACGGTCTTTGTGCACCTCGGCGTTGAAAGCTCTTGGTCCCTGATGTCAGGTTCCAATCTGGTTGCTCAGTCGAGTCTCTGTCCCGAACCACCCCGACACAGCTTCTACTTGAATTGCAGTCTTTCGTGCATATATCGTGCGGCATGCAAGGTACGAAGCACTGGAGGCCAGGAGATCTTTCACAACTGGGTAGCCTCAAGAAGAAGAGCACAGCCATGGCATGCCTGGGCTCCAGGAGATCCTGCAGATCCTCGCTGGCAGCGCGCAAGCCGTGGTCTCGGGAAGAGACTCCCGCTGTCGGCATTTCAGAAAGTGGATTCGGCTGCCACTTCCGGCTGTTGGTACTGAGGAAGATCCAGACTTGAAGTACCAGATTAATGGCCTCGAGCTTACGTGCTGTACAATGCTTCTGCTCGCAGCGACGGATATGTGCGCATGTGTGATGGATTTTTCTGTGTGGCCACCAAGGCAGCAGCTTGATGGAGCTCAGGAGCCTGCCCCAGCATGTCATGTCATGCCTTTGCGGAACAAACCGCTCGCGCTTACCAGCCATGCGTAGAAGTTGTCATGGAGGCCCGATGAACGCTGAGGCTTGCGTGATATGCCTTTGCACCGGAGGGCGGCTAGCGTAACACCACTCAGACAGCACGGGCCGTTCTCTAAGGTCGCCAATATGGTACGGCACCCTTATAAAAAGGACCCTAAAGGGGACCCTAGTTTAGAGAACTTCCCTCCTAAGTCGAATGCCGCTTTATACCTCCAGCTACGATGCTTTGTGGCTGCCTTGTGTTCTGCCGCTCTGGAGCAATAACAGAACAGCATCTTCCACGGAAAAACCAGAACGAACGTGCACCAGAGAAGACCTTCCGACCTTCCCTTTCGCAATTCGGCGACGGCCCCCCTGGAATCCTTTCTTCGGTGATCCCAGAGCAGCTCCAGCAAGATGAGCCCCCGAAGCCAAAACAAAGCTTGCAGGAACAGCTTCGTCAAAATTCAGAAGGCGATGATGCAGGAGAAAACTATGCCGGGTGTTGACCCACTTGCTTCCGGCATGAAAACTTAGAGCAGGCAAGACCTCCGTACCGTTGCAACCCAGAGCTGTAGAATCAGTGTTGCGAGGATATCAAAGATGGTCGGGCCCTCGGTTCTTGCAGCTGGCTCCGATCAGAGTCGAACGGGCGAAGTTTGCTGCACGCTTTGCTCTTGCATTCAGATGGCTGACCGGCAATGATTAGGGTGCCTCTAGGCCTTCCAGTCGGTGAAGACTGAAGTTTAAGTGCAGCTGTTCGAACCCAGGCAACGCTTCCAGTCGTATGCGGGGTACAGTGATGGACCTCGAGGTTGGGAGTGTGGAAAGCTCTGGATGAGTTTTTCGCCAAAGCTATTCTTTGCGCCTGGGAGTCCCTGGTATGGTCCCTGTGCAGGATGGGAAGAACATGGTCGGCCTCCTGCAGAACCAGGCGATCTTGCAGCTCTTTTCTTTTCCCTCCTTGTTAGCGTTAGGTGCTGCATGAAGATCGCAGGGCTGATTCTGGCATGGGGTTGCGGTCGAAGATCCCAGGCCTCCTCGACCCTGGGTGGTTCGCTTGCAGGTCACATCGACCAGCAAAGAGCTCATGGCCTACATTGCCTGGGGCGCAGAACCTCCACGGATCGCAGCCCGAAAGATGTGCGATATCGTGACCCGCCGAGGATGCTGTGGTGCAGAATCGCTTCAAGCACGCGAGGTGGGAGAGGATTTGAACTCGGTCTGAGTCCTCAAGGCTACGAAGAGCCTTCGAGGTACCTGGAAGAGACGAAGACCAGGAACAACACCATCCTTGAGACAAGGAAGAACTACGAAGAGATCCTGCAGGATGGCCCAAGTCGCAAGTGGTGTTGGTGTCTCGTACATCCCTTGTGCAAGTGGTGCTAGTAACTGTACGAAAGAGCAGGCTCTAGTAGCAGGCTCAACATGGTGTAACACATTTCTGCCAGGAGCAAGTGGCGGGAGCCCCGGAGAGATCGGCCCACTCTTGCTATTTATATATTTCCACTTGCTAACACTTCGCATTCCGGAGTTGAGCATTGAGTTGCTGCCACCTGCACGTAGATTCACCGAGGACACTATGAAGAGGGTTGTCCGCGCTGCTCAGCCTGGGCCCTGATCCAATCCAATTGTGTGGGTGTTTTTGAGCGGCTTTTCTTCTGGGCTTAGCTTCGGCTCTCGGCTTGTCTCTGCTCGCTGCATCTTTCGCGGCAGTACTTTCGTTCCTCCCTCTCCCCGATTTCTGCAAGTCGCCTTCATGCAGAATGGCCATCCAGGAATTGTGACTGCCCGAGTCTGATCACACTCGCTGCCGGGAGCTCGGCTTCTGGAGCTGGCAGTCTGCCAAGCCTGGAAGCTTGCTGCAGCTGCACCCAGAGCTGCTAGCTGGTACTGTGCCGTGGTTGCTGTCTAGCAGATACACTGCAACAGTGGTTGAGCAGATGCGGTGTCGAGCGATCAGGCGGGTCAGCGGTCGGAGAAGATAGCATTCCTCCGGATACGGCGAATCAAGCAGCTGCGGACTCAACCACGAGTTGTGTTGTCAGGGGTTCAAGGCAAAGATGATCGTCAGACATCCGGGCAGCCGGAAAAGCTTTGCACTTCGGTCTTCAAACCGGCACCTGCTGTCAGGGAGGTACGGCACAGTAGGTGTGACAAGACATGCCAGAGCTCCTATGTTGGAACCCCGAGGCGGAATCGCAAGCAGAAGCCAACGCCAGACCCCTGGAATGCCATGCTCTACTCATGTAGCAAACCTCTGCGAGAGCGCTTGGGATGAGCTTTGTGTTGAGGCCTGGCCAGAAGGCCATCGACATGATGGGCATGGAGGAGGCGGAGGTCAAAGTCCAGGCCGTCTGCGATTTTTGTTTGCCCGGGAGTCCGGGCACGGAGAAACAGACTTTGGACAGGAGTTGCGCGAGTCTTTCGTGCCAAGCCAGTGGCAGCCTTAGACGCAGCGGCTGTCATAAGAGTGGGCTGCCGTGGACATGCTGAAGGCTTACAGGCAGGGAAGGCAATCAAAAGACGTTTTGATCAGGGCGCGACCAGACTCCCGCGTCAGTAACCCCTACTCTGCGATGGAAGAGAAGCTCAGATTCAGCGCAACTTGACCAAAGGAGCTTCACCCTGGGACAACTGGAATCCAAAGGCCGACGGCATGTTGGACTGCGATTGGCAAGTGGGTCTGGAATTGCAAGCTTGACTAGACCTGCCAAGATGAGGCTCCGCCACTTGCAGGTAAGATTGAAGCCTCCTGATTCCACGGCTTGTTGGAAGGTGTTCTGGTTCGCATCCATGACGGGATCGCCTCCAAGACCAGGAGTGGTCAGCGAATTCAGTGATCCCTGCTTTCGTGGGTCGCAGTGGCCAAGCTGCCGCAGCCAAGCTGGCAGGAAGCACATCTGTTTCAACTTCAGGGCCGCCAATGAAGGCCGGGACGAAGATTGCCTGGAGCTCTGCCAGCATTGCTTGCCTCGTGTCCGGGTTTCCACCGCCCTTAACGGCAGAGTCTTCGCACGACACCTGACAGTCCACACTCCCACACTCCACCTGCTGTACTTGCACTCAGGATAGCTTCTTTGCCAATAGGATGAGTCTTGAGTGTTCAGTCTCTATTCTTGACCCCTTGCAACCTTGTATTGTGCGCCTGTCAATGCTGCACTCCACTGACTGTCTGCTCAATCGAGTGTGTTTTCGGCTTTGGACGGCCCAGAGATGTGAAGCGGACCTCAGCCGAGATTCGAACCCTGCCAGGTTTCGACGTTCAGATCTTCGTCCCGAAGGCCAAACTGAAAGAAGCAGAGGATCGGATCCTGAAGGAGCCGGCTCCTCAGTCCGGAGAGAGCGCTTAACTCGAAGAGCCTTGCCGCCAGGCCTCAGAGAGTAAGAGGCCTTGACACGTGTGCAACCTTCTGCTTCCCATACACTGTGGGGGCCAGAGCCTGACAGAGAGAGAGAGAGAGAGAGTATGCCCGGGCACTGTGGATCCTGGTTACTGTGTGACACTTCAGCACGATGCGGGCCGGGTGAGGTGAACTCTGGATCCCCCGTCTTTCCCTTTACTCTACTAACCATCCCCCGGCCTCATCTTTAGGGCGGCACCAGCTCTGTATGCCCTCTCGCAGTCTATTGTGCTGTTCACAACTGGAGATCGTGCAGGGGGTAGCGACCGCTGCTCCTTTGGCTGTGTGGAAGAAGTATGCCCGGGAGCCCCGGAACACTGGGAGGCCCCATGGGCCGGGGAGCTTGACG